ATCCATATTCGGCCCCCACATTTCGTAGCTTCTTTTGCTTCCTTCTTTTCTGGGGTGCCCCAACAAGCTTTATCCGGTGCACGCAACTCACCCAAGGTTACATGGCGGCGGGGACGGTGTCGGCGGCTCCGGTGGCTTCGGCGACTTCAACCCAGATCTGGTTCATATCCAGATTCGAACTTCTCCATTCCATACCTTCTCCTCTTCCCCCTTTTTCGTTGAGATCAGTCCACCTTCTATCATTTTTTGTTGTTGTTGTTCTTGACATTTGTAGATCTGTTTTGACTCATTTCTTGTATTTTGGATGAATTTTTTGATTGTTTTTGGAAGGTTTTCTGACTTGATTGTGTTGAAACCTCTCAACGAGAGCAACATTGTTGGATAATTGATACCCATATCCTATAACTAAAGAGATTTGAACAAGAGTGCAGTAGAGAAGGAGGTATATGTTTATTGTGAATGAATATTGGTTGTGGTTCAATAGCCTTTTATAAGGAGTATATATAGGGAAAATCCGGGTCTGGGCCTCTAATATGGGCCTGACAGACCCGGTTACATAAATGGACTGATAGTACAAAAAACTAATCTAGAACATCTGAATAATAATAATGTACAATAATATGAATGATATCTGCTAAACGTGTGTGGGCCGTTGTCCAGGCTCAGTAATCGACAGACCGGAGGGTTGGAGTCCATATATACTCCATAAAATGAAAGAAATGATCGGTATTGAATGGTCTGATTAAGCAAGACATGCTTCTCTCTTGGAAGAAGTTATTGTAAAGATCTTTTCTATTTTTTCTAACAAAACATTGGTTGGTTTGGAGATGTAACCACGCCTAGGTCATTTTCTTTGAAGTTTACTATGAGGTGACAATAACGAACAAGAGTAAGGAACAACGGTTCGGTTGGAAATTATGGGTGTTTTACTATGACGTTCAGTGTTTACACATGGACAGTTGTTAGTTGCAATTTAATGGGTGACAATTCCGCCAAGTTTGAAGTTCGTGATATGCGACGACGAAGAAAATTAGAAAAAAAAACTACAAAAGTGTTGTCTAAAAGGAAATATTCAATAATTTATAAATTGAATGCTTAATTATTAAAATTCTATTTTTTTGTTATTGGTTTAATAATTAATATTAAAATTCGTATTTATTGGTTATTAATATTTGATAAATATCATGATGTAATTACGTTTTAGGTTAACATTTAGAATATTTTTATTTTACATCCCGTGCAACGCACGGGTGGAATACTAGTTCACTTAATATTCCGTCTCATTGCGTGAAATAAAAAAATGTGTGGTTGAGGATCGTATGGACTTCATTATTTGAGAGAGACCTAAGAAAAATCACAAATTTATTATTTTAAAAGAAAAGTCACAAAGTTTTTTGGACAAGCATCTAATTGAGATTTAAGTACAATTAGTGAATATTCATTAATTACAAATATAGTATGGACTATGGAGCATCAATTTCCAAATAAAGTAATAAACTACAAAGAATATAATCATTTCATTAAAAGAATTTGTATATTTGGAACAGTTTTTAATATTGAATTTAATTCCATGTTTTGGAATACTTTATCAAGCTGATTCTAGGAAACTGCATAAAATTTGAAAAAATCATTCATTATTTTGAAATACTTTGTATATTCTTTTTCAAGAAGATACACATATTTTGAAATGTTTTGTATAATTCATATTCCATTCAATTTATATACTATTTCAAGCCGTGCGATGCACGGATGACCAATAATATGCGAGAACCGTTTTTTTATCGTTATGCGAGAACCATTAGTAATTCAATTCTAGTGTACTTCGTATAATTTTTCTCGAAAAAAAAAACTTGAATAACTTCATTTCATATTCCTACATATATTTTCATATATACAATATAATTTTTTATTCTACAATTTTTTATTCTACATTGTATAAAATAAAAAATTGAATTTCAAACAAATCAAGTGAATTTTATATATATTTAGATCCTATTTGGTAATACCCAAATTGGTTGTATTGGCTTATTTTGCTGAAATTTATGAAGTTCTAGTTGAAGTGACTGAATTGGCTGATTCTGCTGATTTATGAAAAAAAATTATATAAAATATATTTTTTTAATAAAATAAAGAAAATAGGGAAAACTGCGTAAAAGATACTTGTGATTGGACCCGTTTTCATATAGGCTCATGTGTTTCAATTTTTATGAAAGTGATTCATGTGTTTGAATTCCGTTATTATAAGTAACTCCGATGGTTAATAGTAACTACTGAAAATTAAAAGAACTCCGACTTTCAAAAGTGCCTGGAAAATTAAAAGGAAAATACCAGAAGGTGCGCCTCATCAAGATGATCTCTAAACCACCTTCGCCTTTGGATTTTTTGGATTTGTTTGAATTATTGTTTAAAAATGATTTCGCTAATATCACTTTTCCGATGAACTTTTCGGTGACAAAGGTGGCTGGAAAAAGAAAAGAAAGATGGCATAGCGGTCGTCTTGTTGAGGCGCACCTTCCAGTAATTTTCTTTTAATTTTTCGAACACTTTTGAAAATCGGAGTTACTATTAATTGTCTTTTAACGGCGTGACTCTCTTTTGATAACGGAATTCAAACACATTAACCACTTCGATAAAAATTGAAACACATGACCCTATCTGAAAACGGGCTCAATCACAAGTATCTTTTCCATACTTTTCCCAAGAAAATATTACATGAAACAATAGCTAAAATGATCCTTTACATTAACTTCAGCCAACACAGCCAGAAAAGTAACTTCAACCTTACTTTTTATTATTATTACACAATTTAGCGCAGGAAATCAAAAATTACGTGTTTGGTGAAAAAGATGTCTGATAAACCTGATAAGCCGCATAACGGGGTTACCAAACGGGCTCTTAGTTATAAGAGTATAATGATTAGTTTCCTGATAAGATACCCAATAAAAATAATAGTTTCGATTGGCGGTGGGCGGCAATGACAGAGACGTGGTGGGGAGGTGGCAGCCAGAGTTTGCGGGCTGGACTACAGTGGTGGCAGGAGCGTGCAGGGGATAGGGCCAAGTAGGGGTGGACTCGGGTCGGGTGGGCCGACCCGGAACCGACTCGACCCGACCCGTTGGCCCGGACAGTGACCGGTCCGGGTAGGCCCGACCCGAGGGGTTTCCGGTCCGGGCTGGGTCACCCAAAACAAGGCCCGGCCCAGGCGGGCCAAATTGTTTTTTTTTTTGTTTTTTTCATTTGTTTGGGCTCCACCCGGGGTTGGGCTTGATGTTTAGGATGGGTTTGGAGGGTGAGGGGGTTCAGGGATAGGTAGGTAAGTAAAAAAAACCAAGCCCGAGGCCCGGTCCGAATCCACCCCTAGGGCCAAGTGTGGGGGTGGGGATTTTCTTGTATATCAATATATGTAGTATTTTCATGTGTCAAACATAGAAAATTCAGAATGAATACTCCGTCTATCTCCAAACTAAAGTACAAACCACCTGATTTTCGTTAGTGGAAAAAATATTCTCATTTTATTTAAAGAAACAAGTCTGTTGTTCCTATATATTAAAGTATTTGTCTCACACCGGAAAACTATAAAACAATAAAATACTACATAAGACTATGAGTTACTCCTTCTATCAGATTCATCTTTTAGGATGGAACTCCGAGTCTTAACACTATATACGGATCTCACCATATAATTAAGTCATTAATTAATGTGTCAAAAGCAAATAAAATGTAAGCGCTACACTTGTGTGAAGTAAAGAGTTCTAAAGTCTAAGGCACTTTTGAAATAAATACTCCCTCCGTCCCAATTTGTAAGATACTTTACGGTTTACGATGTTTGATCGACGATAAAGCAAATTGATCCATGTCAACACTCAAACTAGTTTTAGAAAATAAAATTTACATATTCAAATTATGTTGCCCAATTGAATAGTAAATGTATCTTACGATTTGGGAATGGGAGTACTTTTAAACTAGGAGTAATACTTTTCAGATCTAGAATTTAAAACTAATGATATGAAATGGTTATGCATAACATATAAATAGGGGTGGACTCGGGTCCGGGCCGGGTCCAGGTCGGGCCTAGGCCCGGGCGGGCCGGCGGTTCAGGGGTGGTGGACCCGGGACCGGCCCGGGTAACCACCGGGTCCGGTCCAGGTACGGGCCCGGCTGGGCCGGGCCGGGCCCATTATCAGTTTTTTTCCCTCTTCCTAATTAACCCCTCTTTCACCCCCAACCCCCCAAACCACCCCAAAATACCCCAAATGGCCATAAAACCCAGCCCAACCCGAAAATTTAAAAAAAAATGAAGAAAAAAAAAATCAAATTTGGCCCGAACATGGCACGGGCCCGGCCAGGTCAGGCCTTGTTTTGGGTGACCCGAGCCCGGACCGGAAAACCCACAGGTCGGGCCTACCCGGACCGGTCACTGACCGGGCCACCGAGCCGGGTCGGGCCGGAACAGTACCGGTCCCGGGCCGGTTCCGGGTCGGGCCCCCGGCCCGAGTCAATCCATACATATAAATGAGTTCCAAGGATATACTTTGACATTTGGACTAAAAATAGTCAAATAAATCTTTCTACCATTATGATCGATAATTGTCAATGATAGATCTAGGGTCCAAATGTTGGGTGTATATATACACACAAATATCCATAATCAGATAATCTATAGATAATATGTAGATATCACTATATCAGGTTCCCCCCACCTAAGTCACAAATAACTTTTCTTTGACTGGAGTTTACTCCTCTTTCAAAATATTCTAACATGCTTGCTTCCTTTTGGATTGCTCTTTGCTTATTTCTCTGTGGTGGCTTGTAGGAAGGAGATCCTTTTTGTTAAGCACTTAAGCATAAATTTTTTTGTTTCAGTTTTTATATAACTAACCGTCAAATATCTTTTTTCCGTTATCAATAAAATAAACAAAGAACGTAGCTTTGGTTTACAAATTTGGTTGAAATGAATTTTACCCAAACATTCTTCTTTTCAAGAAAATTTGGCTATTTCAGCCCTCAAAACCAAACAACCTAACCAAGGCAGCAGACCGGCTCTACGTAAACCCAACAAAAACATAGCGTGTTCAAATTTGGTACTCCTAAACATTATTCCTTAAATATCTGTTACGTAGTACATTTTAAGGAGTACAGATTGCTTCAAGAAAATGTAAAGAAAAAAACGGCCCGGAGTTACGTCACTTTCTAAAAGTGTTGCTTGAGGATTCCTCGGGAGCTGCAACAAAATTATATATTTTCCATGCATAAATACTCAGAAAGGCAGAATTCTTCCTTCCGCATTCCACCCAAACTGCTCTGATCCATCTGATCGCCTCTGACTAACATTTCTTTCCTCTCCTTGATCTGTCATTCCATGTCATCCCACGCAAGCCATATAAAGTTTCTAGACATTGTAGTCTCCTGTGGATTTAATCAGTCATCGCCCCGTGACTATGAGATCATTCACGTTTTTGGGACTAAACATTCAATTTTCCACATCTGGTCTCATGAACAGAGATTTATTGTCACTTATTGTTTCCTTCGGACTCCTTTTCTGGTCAATTACCCAACAATTTCTGGTTGATTTTTGCCAGGTAAGTGGTCAGAAAGGACAAGAAGTGGCAAAAACTCAAGTCATGTATCAAAAATGAAAAAATGAAAGTTATGGATAAAATGTGAGAATGGCCTTGAAATCCACGGGACCAAAAATGGAATATTTTCCTCAGGTGTGTGATGGAGGCTCTTTAGGAGGAAGACTGATCCGGTGTCCAGTCACTTTCTCCAAGTAGGAAATAATGGCAGCCTCTCTCGAAGAAGCCAAGGCTCTCTGGTTAGCTCTAGCTTTGGCTTCACGCTCAAGATTCATCAATTCTTCCTTCCTCCGAGCCTCTTCCCTCCCAACCCTCTCACGGTCCAGTCTCTCTATCATTTCCAGAAACTTGTTGTGAAGTCCTTCCTGGTGATCCATTAGCCTCTTCACTGACCTCTCCATGAATTCCGCCATGGATGCATACTCACCACTGCAGTCTTTCATTGATTTTCTCCTCTTTCTTTTCCTTCTTCCCTTTGCATCTTCTGAGCCAGAAACTGTTGTTTGGGTAGTCTCTGCATTAATGTCACCCCATTGGAAAGTTGCTTCTTCTGGCTCACCTTCAAAGAAGCTGTGTGTGGCGGTGTTCTGCTCAGTTTTTTGGTTGGGTTCTTCTTCACTCGTTTCTTGTTGCTTTCTCATTTCCTCGAAGATTGTTTCTTTGGGGCTTTCCTTCTGATTCCCCTCGGGAGATTCTGTACTTAGGGGCATCCTACATTCAAATAAAGAGCAAACTCACACAATATCAACTCAGTCCAACTACCTTATTGGACAATATAAAGGCCTGTTTGGTTCGCATGGAGGAAATGGGAAATAATAATATGTAGTATATGTTACCTAGTAAAGTTATGTTAGAGGGGAGGGAATGATTGTTTGATGTATTGGTGGTCCTTTGTTTAGTTAGTGCCTTAAGAGGGGAGAGGATGTATAAATTAATTTACTATTATGCCCTTATAAAACATGCTCTCGTTGTCTCAAAATCAAGTTCTCCACCTCGTTTCCGAGATGTCCCCAATTTAAGTTTACACTTCCTTTTTTGGTAATATCTGGGGCAGCAAAAAAACTTTTTCACTTGTCCTAGTTAGGGCTGGCATTTTGGACCAAAAAACAAAACCGAAAAAACTTTGAGAAATAGCCAAACTAATAGAATTTGGGGTCCGGAAAATGGGATAGAAAAAAGGTTTAAATTCGGTTTAAGAACCCAAAAATCGGTTTGAACTGAACCGACCGACAATTTCACATTGATAATAATGATTAATAATAATCGTAATTAATGACGTTTATTAAAGGTATAATACCTTCTCGAGTTCGTTGTGAACAAACGAAGCGTGTTGGAAGGTTGGTTGCCCAGCGATTAGGGGTATTGGACATCATGGGATTGATTCCCAGAGGTGTGATGTTTTTATTTAAATTTTAAGTTTTCAACTTTCTTTCTAGCAAGGGTTCGTCCCACACCGGAAAATGAGAAACTTTCCTCCTCCAAAAGCTTTTATACAAATTAGACGTTCTCAAACGTTTCTAACTGTGTAGGATACCTTCCATTCAGATTGAGTTGGCGAGGTAAAGTCATTTTGAGCTCAAGCTTGTACTGGCAAGTTGCTTTGGGCTTAGTGTGTTAAAAATTAGTTCAATGATATATTTATTTTTATAGAAAATAGGTTTGTTACGGTTTTGGATAAATCGGCCCAAAATATCGGCTACCGATAAATCGAAACCCATCTTAGAACGGTTTGGTTTCGGTTATGAGTATTTGCATAACAGAAATGTCAGTTCGGTCTTTGGATACCCTGGATCGGTTCGGAACCCAAACCGAACCCAGCCCTAGTCCCAGAACAACATTAATTACTCTCTTTTTCCTACCACAAAATTGAGGGTCATATATGGAAACTCAGTACAAAATATAATCTTTGCCTAAAAGCCTGTGAAGTCAAACTACACTCCTCAGTAAAAGGAAACAACATTATTCATGATTCAAATCTTCTTTTTCTATATCCAAAGTCAACTGTACATTTAAAAAAGCAATTGGAGATTTTATCTCTAAACAAAATTGAAAAAAATTAAAGTCTTCTATATTCATAATAGAAAACAAAATGAACAATGAAAACCAATTGAAGATTTGTGAAGGACCTGGCATGATGGTTAGCAAAAAGAAAACATAACTGACGAATGATAATATTCTACCAGGTCACTATTCTAAATCTGTAATTGAGGTATGAAAAAAAATCTAGAGGGTAGATGTTCTATGTCCATATGGATTTGTTACGTTTCACTCTATAGCAGACAATAGAATATTTGTAAGCATTTGCAGGTGAGCTCATGATATTTAAGTCCTAAAAAATCCATAGCCAAGCACGACAGGAAAGTGAGCAGAGAAGAAGCAAAGTCACCAATAATGAACATGGGAGCAAATAGACAGGAACCAGAATGAGCAAGGATAGTCTAGCAAGCAGCCAAACAGATGAGTCAGCAAAGTAACAAAATATTTCTCTGGACCCAAATTTCACAAACAAATGAGAGGAAGGAAGCAATCCCCCTCCTCTCAGACCACACATACCCTAATAGAGTAAGAGTTATGCCAACGGTATGTATGTATCATGAGAAGATGCAAATTCTTCTATTGGTTTATTACGGAGTGTAACTTTTAAGTTTTACTGCATATGTCCTTGGTCGTTATTGCTTTTTGTCATTTTTGAATACCTGGTTAATTACCATCCGAAGGCAACATTATAGAGTACTTTTTATCCCCCAGTTTCACTATTTCAATGCACAATTGCTTTAGGGAAATTTCAGGCCTTCTTATATTCTTAAAAACTATTTCATGAGTATTAGGAGTAGAGAGGTCTACTAGACTTTCATCTTCTTCTAGTTATATAATTTAGCACTTTCAAAGACACTTCTTCTGTTTAGAAAATAAGATACGGAGCATGATAGGATAGAATCGAGGGTTAACCAAAATACAACAATGAATACTCCGCTACATAAAGCAGGTCCACAGTGTTTTCATGAACCAGAAAGAAACATGACAACGATAACAAAGATTTAGCGCAAATGACTCACCAAAAACGTTGTTTTAGAGCAGAATCTTCTTGATTCTCCCAACACTGGGTCATCAGATCCGGAGAACCGTCGTGCCGATTGCCGCCAGATGCCAAATAATCTTCAGGGCAGCCGCCTACGTCTCCTCCACCACCCGGCCCACAATTTCTCTGGGTCTCCTGGCATGACCCAACCCTGAAGCTCAAATGGTGCAACAGGTTATCATTACTCACCGCAGACTGAAGGTTACTCTCGCGTATGGTGTCGGAAAAAGGCTCAATGAGATGATGCTCTTGGAAATATTGGAAAGGATTTGATTGTTGCAGAAGATTGAGATTTGGGTTCGCGGGGAATAAGTATACAGACGAGGGAGGAGGAGAATTCTGCACCATGAATTTCTGCTGCTGAAGCGGCGGCGGAAGCTTCTGATGCATTTCGGACATTTCAAAATCTGAATTCATGTTCTCCGGTAGAATGGAAGTGAATATTCGTTTATTAATTACGACAAATATTAACGATTGAGTGATGATGCAGTTTGGGTATACAAGTGACGAAAGCTGATACGATTGACAGAAAAAAGCCCTAAGATTTGAAGTTCTGAAAAGGGTTTTGGAGAAGAGGGAAATGAGAGGAAGAAAGTGAGTGAAGTACAGGTTTGTTTGTACAGATCTTGAAGGAAGGATAGGTGGAGGACTAGGGTGTGGGTAGCCGCACCTTTAGTTCGACACTTGGCACCGTCAACTTGCAATGTTTTTTGTTGGGATGCTGCATCCCCTACATGTACACCGTATGGAGGGAGATATCACTTTATAATATCTTCGTGCATATGAATAAATTTGTTTATCGTCGACAACAAAATTGTATTCATAAATCAAATTATACGTAACTTGTTGTCTATGACAAATCAGCCTTTAGATCAGTTCGGTTCCTCTTAAAAATTGTAGGAACCATTTAGAAAATCACAAATCATGATATCAGTTCATTCCAGTCAAAAAAATCGATAACCAGAACCGAACCAAGTGTTAACGTTTCGGTTCTTGTCATTTTTCGGTTCTTAAAAAACTACAATCCGTCAATTTCCCTCACAAAATAGTTAGAATACACCACATAATTGCAATTAATCAAACGGTTAGAATGAACTATCAAATTTAAATTTACAAGTTCCGGATTTAAAAATTTAGGACTCATTGAAACAATAAACTAAAATTGTTTAAAAAGTAATAATCTAATGCTTAAAAAAATACAATTAGTTCAGCCCATAATTCCAAATTTAACATCGTAAATATATTAAATTCTCTAATCTTGATCCTTCTTGGCTTGAAAAGTATTCACTTATGATCTACATGGCAAGAACAAGCAATCAACTTCAATTGGTTCAAACTTCAAACTTGAAAATTTTATATTAAATTTACACTATATATTCAGACGTAGCTCTATATATTCGAAATTTACACTTTGAGCCCCTTAAAGTATTTCCTTGATTTCTACTCATGCGTATGAAATACTTTTCATGCGTATGAAAAGTTAATCCCTAAATCAAACCTTGTTGTTGCTTTAGAAGCATGACTTTAAAATGATGACGCTTACCGGTGGCCCACAAAAGTCAATAATAGTCTTCAAAATTCAAAAGTTCTCCAAAACAAAAGGATCAAAACTAGAAGGCATGCACATCCACCTACATGTTCAATCAATTCATTCTTCATACTCTATGTTTATCTTTACTTTCCCTTTCTTCTTGTTTAAACTCTGCATGAGATTTAGGCATTGAGCTATTGAATAAAATACTAGCATGTAATAAATTATTATGGCAGCTAAATGTAATTAATTAAAAAGTATGAATATGACATATAGATAAATTGACACATCATATAAATTGCGGAAATCATGAAATGCTTTTTTTAGTGTTTTCTAGTCACTCCATTTCCTCGGGGTTGGGAGCATACCCAAGATTTGTGATTGAGTCAGACTTCAGCCAATTTTGTAGATAAATGAGTGCCTCAACTGATCTTGGAGTCAGTGAACTCCTGTGAGGATCAATAACTCTCTTTCCTATGCTAAACCTAGAATCAGAAGCTACTATACTAACTTGAGTTGCTAGAATATCTTTAGCCATTGCTTGCATATTAGGGTACTTTGGCCCATTTAGCCTCCACCATGTCAAAATATCACAATCATCACTTTGTTTTTCTATGGGGTCTAAAAGGTACATGTCAACCTCCTGAGCAACAACAATTGAACTCCCTTCTTCAAGATCTTTTTCCCAATCCTCATGCATCATTGCTTTTTTCCTCGACAGTTTTTTATTCCTGCAAATTGAACAACTTTATATTATATTCAACACTTATATCTATTATATTAGTGTGTTTTATATTAGTATGTTTTCAGTGCTAACAAATTATAACAGACTCAACAAAATGGGCAGTTTTAACTAATATGTCTTAACCAATTCAAGAGAATTTTATAACAAAATGGGCAGAATTCAACTAACTTTTTTTAGAAAAAAAAACTGAAAGCGAATAGAACAAAATGGGCAGAATTCAACTAACTTGTAAACTTATAAACTTTAGAGATATGGTACCTGGTGTTGCTTGTACTGCCTCCAACTTCTTTTGCGCTTTTTGTTATGTTGGAACACTGATTAGTTGTTGATGAATTAAAGAAAATGTTAACTTAATAAAGTAATCTGGATTTTATTGTCACTAAACTATTAAGATACACTAGTATCTATTCTGAAACATACATATCAGTAAGTGTCAGGGCCGGTCCTGGTGGTGTGTAGGCTGTCCAACCGCACAAGGCCCAAAAAATTGGAAGACCCGTTTTTTTGTAGTATTATTACTAAGGTGGCCGGTTATCACTGGGTTTGGACGGGTAGCTAAGGCAGTTGACGTTTGGGAGAGCATTAGCCGGCAGCTGCGAACACAATGTATTAATATGTATGTATATATCTGTAATGGTTCATATATATATGTATATATACTTTAGATGAGTAATTTAAAGTATTCAAAACCGCTGCTATAGACTCGATGGATGTTTGTTGGGACTTGGAGATTAGACTATTGTGAACCTGGTCGACTCAGTCCGATTGCAAAGAGATCAAGGCGAGATGTTTTTCTGGAGAATGCTATGAAAAGAAAAGCTGAAAGAAGTGAAGTCTCAAAAGTGTTACAAGGCTGCTCTGTCCGATTATGCTAATTATTACTTTTCTAGAACTATATGATTTTTTAGAAGGTACTATATTGGTGCTTATAAATTGTAAGTGATAGTCCTTAAGTAAAAATAAATTAATATTTAACTTAAATATGTATATATGTATAGGATTATTGGAGGATTTCAATAAGTAGTTCCTAGTAGTAATTATATTCGCTCGTAGGACATCCATTTTTAAATAAAATGTACTTTGTTAATGAATACTTTTATTTTTATTATTATTTTCATTAGTAACTTGTATTTTAATACAAATTACTTGTGTTGAAACTTTGAAGAGAAGGCCTAATTATTTTTGTTGCACAGGGTCCTCATTTTCTCAGGACCGGCCCTAGTAAGTGTGACTATCAAGTCCTTTAACTGGTCACTTTTTTTTGTGTAATTCTATTCATAGCCCCAAAATTGCTATTTACAGCCACCAAATGATTCAAATGTCTAAATCGCCCTTGCAAACTATTAGCCATCGTTGAAATAAGGCCAAAACACCATCAGCTTGATAAACTAGATGGAGGAGGAAGAGAGTAAGGCACCATCAACGACACTGTTACGAAGGGGCTAAGAGGTTGTTTGAATTTTTTATTTTTAGAAATTCCTAGAAAAGGTTTTTTGTGAGAAACAAGCCGTTGATGAGGGGCTAAGGAATCAATTGCGGTGGAAAAATATATCTACACGTACACACAGTGATAGTGAATCAGATCAAAAAAATAAAACTGTAAGAAATATCTTGAGTGGATGATGTGTATGAAACAGGAATAATAACAACACATCTTTCAAGAGTGCATATAATTAATCTGATTATAAACCATGGCAAGAATCAGGACAGGGATCAATTAAGACTCTCAATTCTCCTCCGGAAAAATTTTGGATTTTGAAACCGGTTCTAAAGAGCATATCGTACCAGACTTTCAGAAATTATTATAACCACAAACCATTATTGGAAAGAGCATCAATGCTGGCATTGTAATTGTGCAAAACTTGTATTGGGGGCTGCGACACCCGATTCTCCAGGTGGCCTAAGGGCTGTATTAAGTTACATGATAAGGATATAATAGGAATTAAAGAAAATTTGTGGTTGTATTTAGTAAATTAGTGGTTGTGATTTGAATTTCCCCTTTTTTCACCGTTTCACCGCTTTCATTCAACATCTTTTCTAAAAATCTACTAAAGTATTTGAGTTTGAATATGGGGTCTAAAACCAAAGCAACATGGAAAGTTTGGTTCTTATCATCGACAGTATCAAAACACTTTCTATATTTGGCTTGCATTTCGACTAACATGTCAAATAATGTTTTCTGTGCACCCTCCAACAATTCCGCTGAATCATTTGAGCACGTATTGACGTGCACTCGTCGTTAGGTGCACTCAAAATAAATAATCAATACAACACTAATACGTAGTATAGTGTAGTAAGGTTCGTATCCACAGGGAAAGGAATACTTTTCTTTTATAAAAGTAGTAAAAGAAGGGGGGTTTAGATTTGTTTGGTTTAATAACACTAAGATAAACGACCTATATGAGTTTAATTCAATGAGATGGGGACTTGGTTTTACTTTTATCCACTTAATGAAATGTTCGTCGATCCCGGTTATATCTTTAACTATCTTCCTCTCGAATACTCAATCGAGGAGTATATCCAGTTCATCGAGGGTAGTTATTAATAACGAGATGCGTTCATTAATAAAACTTACTATCGAGTCAATATAGAACAAGCGCCGTATATTAACTTGATAGTAGCAATAAACTTAAGATGAAAACGATTGAGATTGATAACCTCAACACAAGCGGTTTATTGGTTTAATCAATATAATTAATTCCCCTTGGCATATTAACCATGAGATGCATGCATTAATATTCCAAGTTTACTACCGTTGAAAGAACCGGATTAATAACAAGCGTATTAACCGATTGATTCTAGTAATAATTAATATGAGAAACAATACTAGTTGATACTTTCTTTAAGTAATGTTTAAGATATTAACATGAAATATGAATAGGAATTAATTAATACTCAAGGAAGAATATTAAAATATATGAATCCTACTATGATTAATATCAAGATGTTAACTAATTGTCATCTTAGTAACACTCCCCAATACTATCATAGAGGAAGAAATAGCTATTACTATAACCAATGTCAAGATGTTAACTAATTGTCATTTTAGTAACACTCCCCAACTTTGATACAGAGATAGTATTTTGAAAGAAAGAATTAATATTCAAGGAAGAAGATTAAAGAAAATAACTCACAACTTACAAATTCATTAAGCTTCAAAGTAGCAAAACCAAGATGGAAGAGTTTAGCTCCTCATTTGGAGACTAAACATGATGAAAAATATAAAGAAAGAGCTATTCTATACTGAGCTTAGATGTACAAGGGATTGGATATCAAATGGGAAGGAAAAGAGGTGTATTTATAGGTGTTTGGAGGTAGCAAGGTCATTTACCCGACCGGGTTTTTGAGAAACCCGATCGG